TGATTGTTGTTTCATTGTTAAGTAGACTAATTTAAAAATGAATGAAAAAATATATATATTGATTGTGATACATGTAATAACATAAAATCCTCATAAATCTATTTTTTCTTTACAATTATTAACAGTGGCATAGCTATTTATATTTCAATTAAATTATTTAGTTTCTCTGTGTCTTTAATTTTATTTGTTCACATATATCAGCAGATCTACCTTTTCACTGTTTTATGTTGTTTTCTTGCATGGTTTTGGTTTTAGGTCACGTCAGCTGATGGCTGGCAGTGTGTGTCTTGTAACGCCAACAACAGATCTCTCACCTCAAATACTTGCCCCTCTTGTACATCTGTTTCGGACATTACAGGTAATGCTACTTGTTATCTTTTATACGTACACGTATCTTGTGTTTTGTTTCTGTTGCTTTTTATATGTTTATATTGCCCTGGTGTATCTTTGTTTATGTCACAGTGCGTATTTGTGTTTTTTTGCCATTTGTGTATGTGTGTGTGTTTGTGCGTGCATGCATATTCTTAACTACGTGTTAGCAGAAGTTTGTATTTAGGTAACTGCAAAGAACGGTTGGGAATGTGTTGGCTGTAGGCAGTACAGCACCACAAACACAGTTACTTGTGCTGGGTGCACGGCCACAGAGATCGCAGGTAATGTGCTCAATAAACTCTAGTAACATTCACACCAGAAGTAGCTTAAATCTGTTCTGGGTGTAGGTATATCGTAGCTTGATGTGCCATTGGGTTTTGCTATCAGGGACCATCCTGTAAATGGGGAAGATGGAGAAGATTTGGTATGCAGCTGTAAAGAGGATCTACAGAAGCTTTCTGTTTGCCTTCAGCTTGCTTAGGCATTCATTCAGTTAATTTGTAAAGAGCAGGTTTAATTTAAAACTGATGTGAATCAATCTATCTATCTATCTGTCACAGTAATAAATCTATTTACCAGAAACCTGTAACATCACCATTTTGTGGACAGCATATGGATGGTGCATTCATATATAATAATGAAAGTGCTTTTTTTTTTGTTGACTGTGTCCATGTTCATGTTCTATGTTATACCTGGACTAATTTCAAGCTTCAAAAATTTTTAAAGTGAAATGAACAGAGTCTTGAGTTATGTATATTAACCAGAAGTACATCTAGTAGTGTCCTGACATTTTGTCTCCTTTTAAATGTAAAGACAAGGAATACGTATTTAGGCTCACTATGTGCAGCCTAAATTTTAGACATTCAGTAGGTCAGCACCTGGACCATATTTTATGGGCACATTTTGGGACAAAGAAAGCCAGGATATGAAGTGCCTTTAGACACTTACATATTATTGCATAAAAGATACAAAATTTAGGGACTCTGGGACCTATTCAACAAAGTTTTGGTTTAACACTTCACTTCCCTTTGTATATGCATATTTTAATAGTTGAAATGATACTTTCCAGTGGAGAGATTGTTGGATGGACAGTGGATTCATGGCACCCCCCAGAGAACCTGCCAGACTTGTGCTGCCGGAACCGTGCCCAGTGCAGATGGAACCAGGTACTGGTATTATTTATACTTAAAGATGTACAGTATATAGGCTTTTCTCAAAAAGAAAAAAAACATAGTATAATTATAACTTAATGGATTTTCCTGGGATAAACCTGAAATCTTCCTTTTTTGACTATTGCAATATCGCTGTTACAATATGGAAAAACTAAAATGCTCTTGAAAACCCCTTGCTTAAGTGGTGGTTTTTTAATATTTGGTCATCCCTTCCAGAATTATTCAATATTGATGTGATTAAACATAAGTTGTTGTTTTTTTTCATTTTTTTCCCTACATCTAATTACCTGTGAAATGTTCAGTGTTAGTTTTTTTTTATATGTCTGTACATATTCTGATTGGCCTGTCTGTCCACATGGTCGTTGTTCGACACATGACGTTCACCCATTAACTTCTAAAACATTTTTTTACTTAAAATTTACCCAGCTTTGTTTGGTAAAGAGACAAAATTGACATGATCAGTTTATATTTACGGTAATTATTCTGGTTGTTTGCACAATTTTGGTGACTTTGGCCACATAACCCCAAAGCTGTTTTTTATTTTAATTTTAATTTACTGAGTGGCTTTGTTTGGTAAAGCAGCAGGTTGCTTTCTAAAATCAACATTATCAGTTTACGTTTACGGTAAATATTCTGTTTTTTATGTGTGAAATTTTCCTTTTTCTGTATTTTCCTGTATATTTGTCAGCTTAGCTGTCCAGTAGATTCTTGAAGCTTTTTAAGATAGTATTTATTGTGCACTAGTTTATAACTGTATTATACCTGTTTATGTTTATTCCTTTCAGGTGTGTGAGGTGTAATCAGGTAATATCCATGCTGAATGTACAGAATTCTTGTGACTGTCAGGCAGGTCAGCAGGTACGGCTTCTATCAGTCATAAGCTTTTTTTTTGTGGAATCACAAAATTCTGAGATTTTTTCTTCAGTTTTGATGGAGCCTTAAGCCGCATTCACAACAGCAGACTGACTAGTCCATGGATCGTATTTGGCTGACCCACTTGAATGCCTGTTGGGTAATCCCTGTGCGGAATCTATTCAGTGTCTGTTAGGGAATTGACAGGAAGCTTTTTATTGGGTTGCCATATTTGATCTGTGGACTTGTTAGTCCTCTGTTGTGAATGCAGTGTAAGGCAGCCCCCCCCCCTCTCCCGCCCAGTGTTTGGTCCTGCAAATTAATGTTCAGAGATTTTTTTAAAAGTTAGACTCATAGTGTGTTCTTTATAAGGGAATTATTTACTTCCTTGATCCGAAATTATTTCTGTTATTAACTTAGGGTAGAAGTAAAAGTATTGAAATTTCATTTTTATTGCCACATATATATATATATATATATATATATATATATATATATATATATATATAAAATCTTTGCATAATCATGATGATACTGTCATCATGTTTAGAATACCATATGTGTAGTAGTAGTAGAATTTAATTAGTACTGTATGTATACATTATGATATAGTGAGCAGAACACATTTACATATTTACGGGTATTATTTCAAATTAATATAGAAATAACATATTTAGATGTAGCTAACTTAAAAAAAAATTCCCTATTTCAGTCGGGTGGTCTGTGTTTTCCCTCTGATCCAAATTTACCCACTGGAACAGACTTCACCATTCGAGTTGAAGAAAGTGATGTGACTTCAGCGTTCTTCAGGGACAACCTAGGGGCAGCTTATGAAATGTGCAAGGTAGAGGAAAAATTCAGTCAACTGAATTCTGTCTCATGGAAGAAAAACTCTCTCTCTCTCTCTCTCTCTCTCTCTCTCTCTCTCTCTCTTACATTAAATTCCCTGTCAATTCCTTTTTCAAATTTTCTTAACAGACAATAAATAGGCACAAGGAAAATATTAAGTTGTTTGATTTCACATACTTTTTCCCCCTTTTTTTTTTCACAATTGAATCCTAATCAGACTTTCGGAAATATATGCTAGTTTACACCTCACATGATAAAGGTGTAATAACTGTATCACATACAAATATATGAAAAATGTTACATTTCTGGGACTGAAACCTTATTGCCTATCAGACCTGGAAGAAAATGTGCATATTAACAATATAGAGAAGTGACACCAATTCTCAGACTAAATTATAGGTATAACATGTGCATTCATCTTATGAATTTAGGCATTATGCTTTTCTACACTTTCTTCCGGACAATGATTTAGGCCAGCCTTGATGCATGTCAGATTCTAGGAACTTGTTCATGTTTTCATTATAGAGATGCGGTTTCTTTCTCTATTATAGGTATGGCAGTACGTCATGGGATAACTGTTTTTCTTATGTCTTCCACTTCCAGTTTGACAGCACCACTGGCAAATATGGGAACCTTACTGCCTGTCAGACCCTGGGGAATATGTGCATGTTAACATACTATAAAGATATCAGTACTGTAGGGAGCTCAGGCAGTGCCATTAATAGAAAAGCCTGTGAACTATATGATCTGGTCAAGGGTTCAAGTTCTCAGGATTGGTGGGTGACTTGTGGGTCCCTCAGTGTGGGTGGCTATGTGTATATGTGGGTGGCTGTGGGTGGCTGTGTAGCAGTATTGTTATTTTTTTGAAATACAGAGTTAGAAATTTGAACTATCTCTTCATTCACTGCGAGTAAACATTTCTACTCAGTTTATTTTAGGAAAATCAGAAAGTTATACTAAAGCTACAATGAATTTGTTGAAAAAAAAAAGTTTTTTTTTACATTTGCTTTAACATGAGAATGCATATTTTGGCTATTTTGGCTACTATTTACTTAATAAGCACTTGCAGTCTTTTTGTTACCCTTAATTTTGCTAAAATAATATTATATTAGAGAAAATAGTTGAATTTCTGAACCTGTATTTGTGTAGTCTACTATGCAGCGTGTGTTTATTATTAGATGTATAAATCTTGCATCTTTACTTCTGATTTTTTTCCTCATCTTGTAGGTGGTGGTTATTATGCATAGCTCTTATTCTCTATCTTTTAGATGGTGTGACAGTATAGTTCTTTATTTTTTCATGTCATACCTGCCACCAGCTATGTTTAGGGAATCACATTTATTTTCCCTCCTTTAAGCAAGCAGTGTCTGGATTTACTCTGGGGAAAATTTTGCTGTAGTCAAATAGTTAGTTGTTCACTAAGTCAGTGATCATTTATTTTGAATGATCTTGAGCAAATTTCAAATTTTTATTTAGCCATAGTGAATGAATTTAAACAAAGCTGCCATGAGAGTATGTTCCCAGACTGTTAGCTGTCTTCCTCCATTCTTTCTCTGAACTTTGTCTTTAGTCAGAAAGCAATATCACCTCTCTAAATAGACATCCAGCAGTCTACAAAATTAGACCAGTCCACTTTAAAAGAATGAAAATTTATGGTAATTTCTGGATCTTTCCAACGCCAGATTATTTCACTTAACCAAACAGCAAAAAGCAAACTTGTAGAGGTCTTTTAAAAGGACCTAACCTCCCCCCCAAACCCCACCCCCTGTGGCAAAATAACATACATTGTATTAGCTAGACCTCTCAAGGTGGCCCAGTCTGGTTAAGTATGCTGCTGGATGTAAATTTTGCTAAATATTAGATATGTTAATAATTTCACACAATCTTTTTATCTCACTTTTCTCACTTTCCTGTTTTATTCTCAGCCTGCTTATGCTAATCTCACTGCGTGTCAAACCCTGGGCAACATGTGCGTGCTTAACATGTACGCCGCACGCTACATGAGCAATGCCGTGTTGACTGACCCCTGCTCTATGTACTTAGACCTTCGTTCTCAAGGGGGCAATCTTTTGTGGACACCTGACTGGTATTGTTTGAAATAAATTCATAGATAAAGAAATATTATTGAACTTCTGTATGTCAGTTAAATTGTGATTTGTATATGTACTAAGTTGTGATTTGATTTAACAGTTTGATCTATGCTGAATAACCAAATTTGATTTGAATATTTTGATAATTTAAATTGGTTTGTTTTAATGAAATATTGGTTGTGTAATTTGATATAAAGTGATTTATAAAATCAAGCATCCTTAAAAGATGAATTATTTTTCTAATTCCTGAATTGATTTATCATTTATATTCAGTAAATTTTATTTATTACATTCTGGAAAGTCATTAAAAACTGTACTGCCTTGTAAAAAAAAAAAAAAAAAGGAAAGAGCAAAATACATGTCTTTGAACCAAACGAGTTCAGTATCAAGAAAACTGTACTGAGCCACTTGTTCTTGATGATCTGTAGGCCTCCCAACATGCCATGGCTTTACTACTCAGAAAACGGGAAGAATGTTCTGGACGACACTGGTATAACGCAGGACTACTACGTCAGCCCGAGTCACGCCAACTCCAAGCTGAAACTCATTGTTGCTAAGTATGCTCTGAACGGAACTTTTCTGGGACTTGAAAATGTAACAGGAGGTATGGGTGTGAATTCAAATCAACGTTTTCAGTGTTGCATATCTCGCAGTTTCCAATATTTGAATATGTATTCATGTTATGTATGTAAAGGTCTTCATATGTTCAGAGATAAGCATATGTTATTATTGTAGTATGTAATTGATAGGTCAAACTCTGTACTTAACCTTTGTAAAGCATCTGCTGCAACCAATAAAATTATTATTATTAGTAATAGTAGCAGAAAAAATTAGTTGAAACTGGCTTTTTTGAAACTAATTTATGACTCTCTTTTTCACTCCCTATTGTTTTGAGTTTTATCAATCATTATTTGAATATGAAATGTTTTGGGTTTTTTTTTTTTTTTTTTTTTAAGTCATTCAAATTTGAACCCTCAATTGGTAGAATATTAATGTGTCATTATGTAGATTTTTTTTAGCAATTCTACTTCATTATTTCAGACACACTACAGATCTGTTCAGGGAATCTTAAAATGTTAAACGCAGCTCTGCAGTTTGGAACAACCTATTCTCTATCAGTGAGTCATTGATAATTTTATACAAAAGTTACAAGTTTTCCTGTGTCATTACTTTAATTTTTTTTTTAATGTTTGGCTGTTAAGTATTGTTATGGTTTTAAGTTTTATGAATTGCAAAAATTGATAAAAGTGTAAAAACCTTGCAAAAAATTGATCAAAACAAATAATATTTGCCACCAATAAGAAGTACCCTGAAACAAATTATTTATTTATAAAATCTCCAAGCTTTTGTACTTGATGAATGATATTGCTGTAAAAGCTGATTTAATAATAGTGATAATAATGATAATATTGTATGGTACCAAATTGTGAATTTTACAGATACTGTAATTTTTTAAGTCATAAATTCTTTAAATTTGAACATTCTTTTTGATGATAGCAAAAAATTGAAAAGCAGGCGATCTGATAGTTGTATTCAATAGAGTCAAAGCACCACAATTACTACAGTACATAGAAATACAATTGATTTGAAAATTATGCATCTGATCTATTGTATAGATCGAATCATTACCTAATTTCTTTTCAGTGCCAAGTCTCTATGGATGATCTGTGGGATGAAAACAAGTATCCCCTCATCTTCTATGACCTCTGTATCCTTTGTGTTGAACACAGATATTCATTAACTAAACAAGATCTATGCAACTTCTCTACTGACTGGATCACATCTGCACCCTGTTTCACAAAAAAAAAAAAAAAAAAAATTTAAAGTCAATTCCATGGAAATCATCTATGTTACCAACGTTACATGGTCACATGCACTGATCTTACCCTATCAGGAACAGTGTTGGGCATCTTAGTCAAATAAGCCAAGGAACTGACTTTAGTTTTTTGTTTCTTTTTACATTGGGGCCTGATAATTACTGAGTTTGCTAGCAAAGAAGATGCAAGAAACATGTACCAAGTGAATTCTAGGGCTCTATACAATGTGAAGCTTTCTTACAGTATTACTAAAATTACATTAGATCTAAAGCTGCAGTTAATTGAACATTTTAATTCCCAAAAGTTTGACACTCACTGAATAAAGTATTCTAATCTGTACAAAATAAAGCTTTCTGTAGTACTTCATAAGATCTAATGAAGTTATTTGGACTTTTTACTTCCTTTAATTTCAATGCTCTGCTTAGAATTGACGAATCATGTCTTTCTATCTTAACATACTTTATCATGTGAAAATACAATAAAAGTGCCTTAACTGTGTGTTAGACCTAGAATTTACAGACAGCTCTGGTGCCAGAAAGCTGTATGCTGTCCCTGTTCTAATAGAGAACATTGATAGCACTAAACACACTGGTAAGACATCTGTATATCAACACTTTGAGTGCTTGAATAGCAAATTGTGAATGTGCATTTTTCAAACAGAATCTCTTTGTAAAATATTAATGGAATTATATATAGTAAGAATAGTATTTTTTTGTTAATTTTTTTTTTGAAGTAGTTGGTACTCTTTATCTAGATTTTTGTTGTAATATTGAGATTTATATATTTAAATATTGGTGAAAAAATGATTTGATGTTGATCATCAGCTGTGTGGGCAAGTAAAAAGGGTGAATAAACTTGAATAAGTAAGATCTGCAAACTGTATAGTTGTGCCACAATATTATTTCAGCTACAAACCAAGAGGAGTGGAAAATGACAAGAAGATTCTTCTTGATAGATAACCAGGCACTTAAGACGCCACCTAGTGAGTAGAAAACTGGCAGTTCATTGTATCACTTGTTTCTTTCTTTTTTTTATTGTAAAGTTTTGTTAATTTGTTTGTTACTATCTGGAATTCATGTCAGATGTGTTGTTCTGTGAGTTTGTCTGTTTTCTTGTCATTGCTCCATTTCTGCAAAACTCTTTCACTGGGAAATATTGAAGTGATTGACTATTTTTTTTTACAAAATGACATTCATCCTACAAGTTTGATGATGTATTGTTTATGCTTAAAAAACCAACAGTGCCATTGTCCATTTTTTTCTGAAAACATAGCTGGAAGATTTCACATGACTTACACTAATATAGTAAAATTCACTTGCATGCAGTTTTCACTACTTAGTGATGCATTTAGCTTTCATTCATCTTGAAATGGTGACTCTAAGAAAATAAGACATTTCTTTTCATAACTTGTTCTTATTTATTTATTTTTCTTTTATTAACACAGGTACAACTACAGGTACGACCCCCACAGTGACACCCGCCTCCACCCGGGCCAAATATGTGAGATATGCCTCTGAAATGACACTGACAGTGAGGCTGCAGAATGGACAGACAGGGGAGAATACTGCCAATAAAGAGGGCAGAATCTTCCCTCCATACCTCCGGATAAAATATCTGACGGCCAAGGAGGAAGACATTGGAACTGGGATTGAAGTGGATGTGAGTATCATGCATACATGACAGGGACAGAAATGAGCAAATTTCATTGTACATTTATTAATTTTATCTTTTTTTTCTCCAGTTCTCCACTGTGTTGCCTTTGTGTCAGCTGTCCTTTTGTACACTTGGTCCTAAATAAATATTCTGAAATTCCAATTTGGCAATTATTTGACTTTATCATTAAAAGGAAACAGTCATATTGTGACTGATGCTACTAGTATTATGGTGATTTGATGTCTTATAACTGACTGATATATTTCATGACTTGAACCTAATTTTTCTTATCATTTATCTATTGATTGATTCATTGAAGTCATAAATCACATTAGATGGTAAGATGATCATATATAAGGGCTCATTTCCAGTGAAACTGTTGTTCTTTGTAGATCAATCCAACTGATGGATGCTTGCTGAATGGAATCAGATAAGAGATTTACAAACCTCCTCTTGTTTCAAACAAACTGGCATAATCACCAGCTTTTCTGTATTCTACTCAGTGCCAGAAGGAGGCGTGTTAATCTGATTGCATTCAGCAAGAGTCCCTTCAGAGTTGGATCAATTTACGTAGAACAGTAGTTTCACTGGAAACGAGCCTTTATACAAACATGATATTTTATTGTGCCCTGTGTATTTTTTTTTTCACATAACATTGCAATAAGAAATACATCCTGTGTTTTCAGTTCTCCTTTTCCACAGTGTACACAATGCCCCAGGAGAAGTTCAGCCAGGATGTGGGTATCGCCATGGCGGTCTTTGGCGTCATGGCGGCTATCTGGGGTCTTTTGAGAACTTGGTCGTGGTACAAGAGGACCGGCAGAGTGGGCATCGACTTCCTGACTCTCATCAAGTTTGTGCTGTACTCCATGGGGGCAGTGGGGAATGCCTTCTTTGTGGTGATGATGGGGGCAGCCTTCTGGTTTCTGTTGTTTTTCAAGGTGAGTGGTAATTTAACATTTGAACTTGAAGAAGGTAACTGGAGTCTGCTCTTGCTAGCTTTATTTTTTGTTGTAGATTTGTGCTTTATCTGTGTGGAAAAATGTAAACGTTAACTTGTGTAGTGGAAATGGTTTTGAAGGTATTTGGAAAATACAAAAGTATAATGTATTTTCTTTTTATTTGTAAAAAATATGCTCAGGATACCTTGGGTTAATGTCACAGCAAATTGGTCTTGGTGCATGTAGAACTGACTCATAGTGCTGTTGCTTCAGACAAAATTATAAAAATAATTGAGAGAGAGAGAGAGAGAGGTGGTGAGTTAGGATAGGTGTGAGCGAGAGAAAAAATTGATGTGGATTGGAGGGAAAAATAGCTTTTACATTCTCAATTTCTCTTTTTAGAACCAAGGTATAGCGTTACTCGTCCCTCAAACCAGAGAGCAAGAGAACATCTATGTCATCTACATCTCCGTGGCATTTGCTCTGAAAGTCATAGATCTCATCCACATGTTCATCATGCACAGCACCATAGACATATTCCTCATAGACTGGGAACGCCCTAAAGGTATGACCAAAAAGGAAGAGGGCGTCGTCGAGGAACCTGTTTCAATATGGCGGACATATTTCGTCGCAAATGAATGGAACGAGATTCAGACGTTTAGGAAGATCAATACAATATTTCAGATTATGATGGTGGTGTTTTTACTTCACGTTGTTGGGTTTGAGAACTACGCAACAAGGGATGCGTACAGTCGTCTTCACTTCTCCGACACCAACTACCGCGCCCCATACAGTCTGGTGTTCAGGTTTGCTCTTGGAGCCACTGTTTATCTGTTGACAGGTAAGACAGAGAAACCATTGCCATGATATTTGTAGTTAACTCTTGATAATTAGACTTGGACAGTATTTCTAATATGAGATCAATTGTAATTTTTTTTTTTTATGAAAGATTCATTTTCTCCTTACAAAGTAATTGTTAAAGTGTAAAAATTACCCTTTGTGTAGATGGACAAAATGACCCTCCCACATGTAAAATTACTACAAAATACATCCAGTTGAACTCATTCTGTGATTTATAGTATCTGCTTTTGCCTTTTGAAATTATCTTTCTGCTCTGATAAAACCTTATGCATATGGCCATAATTGATTCTGATTTTAATTAAATTAAAATTGCTACTTGAGCCAAAGTTTTCCAGTGCTTCAGATTATTTAAGCACAAATATTTGCAGTTCAAGATCTAGAATCCCAGTCTTCACAATCCACCGTCTCACATTTTAGGGATAGTCCAGTGGATCTGGTTCACGTTCTTCTACGAGCGTTTCATCTCGGACCCAGTGCGTGAGTTTGTGGACCTGTGCTCCATGGCTAACGTGAGTGTGTACATCATGGAGAACTATCTGTACGGCTACTACATCCATGGGAGGTCTGTCCATGGCAAGGCTGACACTGGACTCAAGGACATGTTTGACAACTTGAAGAGGGAGGAGGTGAGGAGAAGGCTGATGGTGTAAAATTTCTTGCCTAAATGTGGGTGTTTACCTAGAGAGCCCCATGTACTAGTTGTTCACACTACATCTCTCTCTCTCTCTCTCTCTCTCTCTCTCTCTCTCTCTCTCTCTCTCTCTCTCTCTCTCTCTCT